TATGCATCTTACCTCATCACAATTTATTTCAAATTAATATTAACTTGATTGCCATGAACTATAAAATGTTTAACATAACTCTATTATTTCCCCCTCTTGTGCTATTACTTTCATATATATTACATCTATATCTTACAAAACCAATGTTACAGTGTTATAATTATCTATTTACACAAAGTTATGTTTTTAAAAATAATTTAACAGAAGAAACATGAAAATATATCTAGACTCTTTCATTTTTAACATGGGTATTTATTACATCTACACTCTGTATTTCTTCCAGTTAATTTGGGCTACCATCTCATGCCATTCCTCCCAGAATCCAAAGAATTTTCTTTAATATTTGTAATAAATCAGTTCTGATATCAAGGAGTCCTCTCAATCTTTTTAAATTTTGGAATGTCCTTATTTTACCTTTATAACTGGTAGATAGTTTCACCAGATAAAAAATTCTTCATTAGCAGTTTTTTCTTTCAGTATTTTGAATATATTATTTCACTGCCTTCTAGAGTCCATTCTCTTTGATGGGAAGTTAGATATTATTTATATTTATGCTCTCTTTAACATATTAAATTGTTTTTTCTCAAGTGCCTGGTTTGCTCAGTCAGTTAAGCATCTGCTATTGGCTCAGGTCATGATTTCAGGCTCCTGGGATTGAGCCCCATATCTGGCTTCCCACTCAGTGGGGAGCATGTTTCTCTCTCTCCCTCTGCCCCTTGCCCTGCTCATGCTCTCTCTCTTTCTTTCAAATAAATAAATAAAATCTTTTAAAAACTGTTTTTCTTTTGTTTTTTTTTCTCTTTGTGTGGGGCTTTTAATACTTTGACTATGATGTGTCTAAGTATAAATCTCTCAATTTATCCTATTTGTAGTTCATTAAGCTTCTTAGATGTGTAAATTAATATTTTTTTAACTTGGGGCCATGATTTCTTCAAAATATTATGATAACTATTGGACCCACAATTTGAGGAAGTATATACGGACAAAATGTGAGACATTTATTGGGAAAGTCTAGGAACCAGAAAATTGGAATGAGTACATGTCCTTGGATTCAGATATAGCCTGAAACTTTGGGCACCTTGGGTACCCCTTGATCTGATTATCAGTTGTTTTTCCCTGTGTGTCTCTCTTTCTGCATTGCTAGAATTCAACTGGAAGATGAATTTCTAAATTATTACCTTGAATTTTTAAAAAGCCACCACAGAAGAGTATCACTATGTGTTTCCTTTTGCATGAAACTCTAGAGAAGACAAAACAAATCTATGGTTATGAAATCAAGAGAGAGAGTTCCCATCAGAGGTGTCTGAACAGTTTAAAAAATGATCTACTATACTTGGGCGCTCAATAGATGGAATTTATGTCAAATACTCATTCAGATAAGGTCTGAATACAAGAATACCTTCATGAGAGACAGTACAGTCCAAAATCTTGTTAAAATGATCACTACCCACATGAAGATGGATGTGAAGTAAGTACACATTCTCCCCCAGTTCCTGCTATAATGGACTTTGAGTGAGGTCAAGATCAAGGTGAGGAAATTATATTCCTTCACTTAGGTGGATTTACCAAGCATCCAAGAAGCCCAAAATTATTATCAAAGAAAAAGGATATGGTCAAACATCTACTAGCAGTTAGAATAGCTATTCTCTCTTCTGTGCACTTTGCCTTTGGTGTACAACTAGGCATTAAAGGTATACTAGGTCTTTGAGGCTTACAAAGCACTTCAGGTTTCATTGCACTTGGCACACTCTGCAACTGTAAGACTTTTTTGTTTTTTAAGATTTTATTTATTTATTTAACAGAGAGAGATCACAAGCAAGCAGAGAGGCAGGCAGAGAGAGAGAGGAGGAAGCAGGCTCCCTGCCAAGCAAAGAGCTCAATGCGGGACTCGATCCCAGGACCCTGAGATCATGACCTGAGCTGAAGGCAGAGGCTTAACCCACTGAGCCACCCAGGTGCCCCAAGACTTAAAACCACGATTTGTGAGAAGCTGAGAAAAAGAAGTGATGCTTAACTTATTTCTGACAGTTGCTATCCTCTATTTCTCTCTAAATCCTAAGGGATGATCCTGATACAACTTATCCCACAAAAAGAATGCACACTGTCCTCAGGTTTTCCCTGAGCCTGAGTCAGCTTCTGTTGCTGACTTGAGGCCCATAATGAGAATAAAGAACCAGCTATGCTCAGAAGGGAAATTGCAAGGGCTAATCCAGAAATTAAACACACACACACACACACACACACACACACACACACACACACGAACTCAAGATCTTGCTCAATAGTACAAGCAGAAACTAGATAGCATATATGTAGGTGGAGCCTTAGAATATTAGGCCAAGAAGGATGAATTCTGTTTGGACAGGGCCAAATTTACCAATACAAGTATACTCACTGTGGAATCAGGAGCAGCCCATGGTGCATTTCACACCAATGAAATATATAGAGACAACTCATTGTATTGTAATTTCATTTTATTTTGCTTTGCAGATATTGTGGTGGCTTTTTCTTTTTTACAAATTGAAAGTTTTAATTTGTCATAAATCAGTTTACAAGTTGAAGGTTTCAAATTGTAAAAAGTGCAATAGCTGCAAAGCACAGTCAAGCAAGTCTATTAACACAATTTTTCCAACATCACCTGCTCACTTCATGTTTCTGGGTCACATTTTGGTAATTCTCACAATATTTCAAACTTTATTATTGTATTTGTTATAGTGATCTGTGACCAGTGATTATGAGTTGCTGAAAGCTCAGAGGACAAATCTTTTATCAATAAAATATTTTTAATTAACATATGTACACTGTTTTTAAGACATGATGCTATTGTATACTTAGTAAACAACAGTATAGTAGAAGCATAACTTAACTATTACATACCTTGGGAAACCAAAAAATTTCATTTGGTTCACTTTATTGCAATATTCACTTTATTGTGGTAACCTGAAACCCAACCCACTATATATTCAAGATATGCCTGTGTTTCTCTAATGGGATCCTGACAAATATTTTTTTAAAACTCTTCTGAGTCATTCTCATATGCAGTTATCTTTTTTAGTGACCTGAAGGGATCTGCACTGGTACCACTTTGATAGTGAAGTCCATCGAAATGAAGTAGATGGACACCCACTTAAAATACTTCTTAAGATACATATCTATATATGAAATTTTGGGTCTCATGGGCAGAAAATTAACACAAACCATTATATCAGGGCTTCAGATCCTCTTTCTAGTCCTTGATATATCCTATTTTAAAGATAGAAGGCTTTGACTGAAGGGCAGACTGGGTCCCTTTGACAAAATTCCTCACAACTTAGTTATATAATTAATCATTCCCCAAAAGTCCCCAAGGAGGCCAGTCAAATCTCCTTCAACTCAAATCTACAGTGCATAGTGTCATCATAGGAAGTTATGACTGCTGCAGTTGCAGTCTCACTTAGGGGTGGTTCTGAAACGTGTGGAAAATAAATCTTCCCAGTAGGCAGAGGTTTGAGTTTTATTTACTTGCTCACTTTGTGAAGAAGAGACATGTCTTGAGTTTTATATCAATTCATGTCCAGTAGCTCAATGAGTTGTTGAGTAGTAGGGGGCTAGACAAGAATAAGACTGGAAATTTGATGACAAAAAAGTCTAGAGGAGATACATGTGGAAGGAATTCCAAGAATAGGTATTGAATGAGGTTTATAAATGCTTAACTGAAAATAGGCCATGAGCAGAAAGAGTACAAGTGATGTTTGGGTATTTATTCCTTTGGTTCTTCATGCTGAGCCATGTAATCAATGGCCATAATGATGCTTTCCTAAAGCCACTGCTCTCATAAGGGTAGCCTTTCTCCTTCCAGGTTCTGGTAATGTTACCTATATTCACTGTGAGCCCTGTGGCCATAATGCCTCCTTATCATCACTAGTTACAGAATGATTTACCAACCCTACCCATTTTTAGAGCCCTGTTTATTAGACTGTCCTCAACAGTCTGTTTCTCAACAACAGACATCTGTTTCTTGAGGGGACCCTGACTATTAGGTACCCAAAACAACTTAGATCATAAAGTCCATGGGGATAGGGAATTTAATCTTTTTTTTTAATCTTTCATCTGATGTTGCTATCCCAGCATCTAGAATGTCTCTTGCACCACAGGTTTTCAATAAATGTTTCTTAAATTAACATATATAGTGACTACTTTCCCTCCATTACTGATCTTTATGTTAAAGTCAATTATTAATGATTTAATATAGTTTGAACAACATTTTTGTGCTTTTATTTGTAATTCCTTAAGGAATAACAAAGAATTATGTCAGCAAAAAAACAGCAAACTTGTTATGCACATGGAAGTCCGAGATAACTAACAAAAAATTTGTTGAAAGAGAGAATTCATCATACATCCTACATACATCTACACCTGCAACATCTGTCTTGACCCCCAGTAGAAGCTCCACACTGGGCTCCAAGGGCACCAGGTCATAGCTCACAGGTCCGGTGCCTGTTAAGGGTCAAGGTAGAAGTCCCAGGTTGAAAAACTGTAAAGATTATAATTTTACAGCTTTATCATTTCAATCCTAAAAACCTCGTCGTCATGCCTTTTTTTTTTTTTTTACAAAATCATTTTTCCTACGTAACTTGGAGGTTTTTTTTTCACACTTCACCTAAGTTTCCGTAATTTTAATATTTTCAATATACGAACCATATTCAAGTTTTTTCATTGTCTCCAAATAACTTGAGGGGGAAAATGTTATTTCAATAGAGATTCAGTAGAGGGGCACCCTTTACATTTGGTAGAAGAATTCACATTTCACCCTTAATCTCTTCGGGCTCTGACAGAACCTGAGTAAGAAACTTTTAAGAACAGCAGTTTCTAACTTTCTAAAAAGTGGAAATGCCAAAAAAGAGTGACTTTAACAGTGGCCGCGGAGGTCTATGGGAAATGTAGTCCTGACTTCTTGGCTTCCCCGCATGGCACTCTGGGAATGGAATTCGGGGCTCCTTCTGCGCAAGGGCAGCCGTAGCTCCGCCTCCTCATTCGTCTAATCTTGGACTGCAGGGAAGCGCTTTGAGAGAGCCCCCGGGTCTACTCGGAAAGTAAAGGATGCGAGCATGCGGTGAGAGTGCAGGGGAGCTCTCTATGGGAGGGGCGCCCTTGTGTCTAGGGATGGGAGCAAGAAGTCTTTGGGATACCCCTGGTAGACGCCTCGACCAGCCCTCTATCGACATAAGGCCGGTGGGAGTGTGGGGGGAGGTAGGGGGAGATCCCCGGCCCTTCGGCTGCGGTAGCACAAGTGGGTCTGAGCCCAGTCTTGAGTAGGGGCTCTGTACGGTCCTGGGTGTGTAGGGACAGTGTGGTTGGACACACCTGCAGCCCGACTTAGTGTCGGTGGGAGGCAAAGTGCGTCTATAAGGTGGCCCTGAGTGCGGTGAGAGCCGGAGCACGGGAGCCAAAAAAGGCCCGGGTAAATTTCCAGCAGAGGCGATAGAAGGAACCCGGGTAAGATTCGGGTTTCTCATCTCAAAATTGTATTATACGACTCTTCTAGGGGGGTGTTTTGAAACTTGGATCTAAGTCATCACTTTTAAAGTATTTAGACAAGTACCGGGCACTATGCACTGCGTAAATGACAACTGCTTTCGTAGTTAGAAGACACTGTTGTTTTCATTGGACGGTTTATCATAACCTCACAACTACTTAAAATAAACAAACGGACAAAAATTAGAAAACAACCCAGGTTCAGTTTGGTGAAACGATGTGCCCAGGTCACAAGCTAGCAGTGAGGGAGTTTGGATTCAAGGGCAGGTGTGCTTTATTTCCAATCTTAGGCATTGTCTAAATATCACACCTGCCTGAAACCAGCATCGCAGCGTTCACAGCACTAAGCAAAGTGGCCTGTCCCCAAATCCCCAAGGATATAAGGGAAGGTGAATGTAGATGAACTCTGATCATATGTCAGATATAGTCTGGTATTTTTAGTGTCTCTTCAGGTCTCTTGGATCAGAAAGAGGTTCCTAGCCTGTTCAGTATTCTCAGGCTGTCCTTTAAGTCTGATATTATAATGAATTCCAGGACTCTTGGTTTTGCCCCTAAAATGAGTTCTTAGGTCCCAATTATGTTGTCTCATCCTTTGGCGTATGCTGATTCAACTAATCTGTTGCTTTGTGTTAGTCACGAGGAAACATGCATTATTGTTAAATCAATCAAGCAAATTTTATGTTCGCTCAGTAAAAAATTGCAGAATTAAACCCACAGTAATTTCAGAGTCACACAAAGACAAGTGGTACATGATCTTTCTCATTCCTTTTCAAGGTCCAGAGGGTCCCAGGCCTATGGGGAGGATGATCCTCCAACTGGGTTGCTGAGATGTGGGGAGATGAGTGTAGGAGCTGTAAGACAGGATAGATCTCGTGACCTCTATCTTCTTTCTGTCCGCTCAGCTGAACCACAGTTCTGTACACTCTCCCAAGATCCACAGAAAATGAACACACCTCAGGTGAGCTTTTTATTTATTCCCCACTTAGTATTGTAATGGATTTTTGAGTTTTAGAAGGATCCATGTATTAAATGAAAAAGGAGATCTAGAAATATGTCTTGAACAAAAATATACGCTGTTCGACTATCAGCTGTGATGTTTTCTTTCAGCTTTTGGTAGGTAACCTTTGTTAGAGTAGGGTTACGTTCCATCCATGTACCAGGTTGCTAAGATTTCATGTTAGTCATGAATGTGCATTGAATTATCGATTGTCTCTTGTGTATGGATTGGAATAAAACTAAAGCTTATTTGCTTTCATCTGTGAGTACTGTAAACAGTATAACATATTTTCTAATATTAACTTAAATTCCTGTATGGAGCCTAGTTGCTAAAAGTTTGATAAGTTACTTCTTACATATTTTCCTCAGGCCTTTTGCTAATACTATATTCAGGGTTTATGTTTCTGTATCCACAAGTTGGATTAGACTATACTTTTTTGTTTTTCTGTCCAATTATGGTATAATGGTCATAGTCTTATGAAAGTAAATGGAGAACTTTTCTGCTCCTTTTCTTTTCTAGCAATTTAGATGAGAAAGTTGTACTACATGAGGGTTTTTGTGAAATTTTTACATACAGATTTAGACCTTTAGAAGACTTTAGCATAAAGACTCTGGTGTTGACTTATCAGGCATAAGTCTATATTGCATTTGTATTTTTTTCTTTTATTTTCAGATTTATTTATTTGAGAGAGAGAGAAAACATGGGGGAGGGGCAGAGGGAGAGGGAGAGAAAGAATCTCAAGAGGAGTACTTGCTCAGCACAGAGCCCAACACAGGGCTCGATCCCATGACACTAAGGTCATAACCAGAGCTGAAATCAGGAGTCGGATGCTTAACTGACTGAGCCACCCAAGCGCCCCTGTGTTTTTTCTTAATATAATTTTTGATACATTTTCATAGAAAATTGTTCGTTTTATTTACGTTTTTTAATGTATTTTCATGAGCTTGTTGATAGCATTCTATTAGTTTCAAAGTCTTTATCTGTTATACCAGTAATCCCTTTTTTCGATCAGCTTTTAAATTTTATTTTAGCCTAAAGGCTGCTAATCAGAAAAGGACAAAACATGTTCTACTTGGCCCAGTCTGAAATCCGGAATTTCAGGGTCTGAGATTCTTAATATTCTATTCAGGCAGTGAACTCTAAATATTGGGAATTGAGGGACATATACTGGTCCTATTTGTGCTCTCTACCTTTGCCTACCTACCTGTCAGCACCATTTGTTGACAAAAATATACTTCGTCCATTGAATAGTGTTGGCATCTCTGTGGGAAACCAATCCACAATGCATGTAGGGTCTGTTTCTATTCTATGTTCACCTCTGATGATCAGTGTAATCCATTTGCTAATACCAGACTATCTTGATGGGTGTCTCTTTACAGTAATTCTTGAAGTGAGATAATGTAAGTCTTTCAACTTTCTTCTTTTTTTAAATTATTTTGGATAGTCTAGGGCCTTCGCTTCTTTATAGAAAGTTTTGAAAATCTTGTCTGTCTCAAAGACACTTGCTGAGATTTTGATTTTGATTGCACTGAATCCATAGAATCTGTAGTGTAGAGAACAACTTGGGAAGGATTAATATCTTGATCATAATGAATCTTCCAATTCATGGGTACAGTATCTCTCTCCATTCACTTAGGTGATATGGAGGGTGTTGAGGGTTTGGGGTTTGATATAAAAGGATAGTTTTGACTACTTTCCTGAAAAGGATAGTTTTCAGGAAGAACACTGTCTACTGTCTGAAGATACTAGACTAGAAGCAGGAACAATATAGGAGCCTGTTTCTATAATTCTAGCATGAAATGAGGATCATAACAGTGTTAGTTACTTTGTCAAATTCTGGATATAATTTAAGGTAAAGCCAACAATCTGAGAGTGTGTCTTTCTTTTCTACAGCCTTCTAAATAGATCGTGCTGTTAAATTTTCAACTTTACCAATGTGATTAAAATAATCTCCATTTGGTTTTATAAGCTTTTCTCATGAATGAGGTGTGGAACATCTTTTTTTGTTTTGTAATTAATCTATATTTCTTTTTTTGTTGTTATCCCTTACCTGTTTTTCTATTGATGTATTGATTTTAATTACTGTATCCACTATATCATTATAGCCCTTTCTCTGTGATATAAATTGCACAATTTCCCTAAAGTTTTTCGTAATTTTGCCTTACTCATGATTTTTTTTATCATAAAGGCATTTGATTTTTTTTTTAAAGATTGTATTTATTTGAGAAAGAGAGAGACAGCACATGCAAGAGAGAGAGAGTGAGAGAGTACACACGAACAAGGGTGAGGGGTAGAGGGAGAGGGAGAAGCAGGCTCCCCATTGAACAGGGAACCAGCTGTGGGCTTGATCCCAGGGTCCTGGGATCATGACCTGAACCAAAGGCAGATACAACCAACTAAGCCACTCACATACCCCAAGGCATTTGACTTTTATGTTAAATCTAGGAGTTTTTTCATTAATGTTCCTGGATTTTCAGTCATAATTGGGCATTTCCCACTCTAATGTAAAATAATTGTTCTGTGTAGTCTTCTGGAATTTGATTTTATTTTTTACAGTAGATCTGGAATACATTTTGATATTTATCCTGCTCTGTGGTACAAGATAGTAGTCTTTTCCCAGGCAGACATCTAGTTACTCTGTGACATTTTAGTGTCCAGGCTTTCCTCATGCATTTGAATGATGTCACTTGTATTCAAATAGGAAATTTACTCTGCTAATCATTCTTCCTATTACACACTTGGTTCTAGGTCCTGTTCAGTTTAAGTTTGGATGTCTTTTTAGGCTCTCATCACTTCCCTGCTCTGGCCCACGTCTGTGTTTATATTAAGTTATGGCCAACATTATCCTGTTTTGCTTATCTAATACTTTCCTACTCTCTATCTTCCAGAATTTGTTCAAATTTGGGGGGTTTCTGCTGGGACATTTCTCTCTATTCCTCTTTTGTCATACTTTTATATGCTTGCTTCATATTTTACCTGTGTTTTTAAAGGCAGGGAGGTAAATGTGTATGCTCAGTCTATCCCTTGAACTAGATGAATCATGCTTTTAATTATTTTTTCTTTTAATTTCCATTACTCTAATATTTCCAGTTTTTCTTTCTAACATTTCAGAATTCTTTCTCAGCCTTCATGGATTTTCTTTTTCTAATTGCCTCTTAAATTTTGCTATTCCCTTGAATTCTCTACTTAGTCTTTTTTGCTCCTGTTTCTCTGTCCTTTTTGAGCCATCTCTTTTTTCCAATGACTTCAGTTAGCCATCTTAATGACTGATATCTCCTAATTCCTTATTTTCATTTTAGACCTCTGTCTGTTCCAAAATCATGCAACCAACAATGAAATAAATAATTCCACCTATATTTTCAATAGGTATTTTGAGTGCAAACGAAGAACATCTGCCTCACAATGACCCAATCTCTGACTCGTACTTAATTCTTCCAGTCTCTGCAAATGGCATCCATATTTACCCAGTTGTTTGTGCAGCATCTCTGTTAGATAAGTGCACAGGAAAATAATGAGCAGATTTTGTTTCCTGTAAGGATTAATTTCCCATTCTTTATCTTTGCTTTAATATAAGTCATCTCTTAAATTAATTATTTTGTTTTGCTGCTTAAGACATTGTCCACCTTCCACATAGAGCAGTGGCTCCTAACTGGAGGTGATTTGCACCCCAGGAGATGTTTGGCAGTGTTTGGAGATATTTTTGATTGTCACAACTGGGGATGTTGCTGGCATCTGATCAGTAGAAGACAGAGATATTGATAAATACATTAAAATACACAGGACCGTCTTCCACAAAAATAGCATTATCTGGTCCACAGTGTCAGTAGTGCCAAGTTGAAGAAATCCTGTTCTTTTTTTTTTTTTTAATTGTTATTTTAGCCACCATAAAATACATCATTAGTTTGTTTTTTTTGATATTTAAACTTTATTTTTTCAGTGTTCCAAGTTTCATTGTTTATACATCACACGCAGTGCTCCATGCATTACGTGCCCTCCTTAATTCCCACCACCAGGCTTACCCAACCTCCAACCCCTCCCCCTCCAAAATCCTCAGTTTGTTTCTCAGAGTCCGCAGTCTCTCATGGTTTACATTGTTAGTTTTTGATGCAGTGTTCTAAGAGTCATCGTTCATGTACAACACCTAGTGTATTGCATAAATACATATTGTACGTAAACAAAGAAATCCTACTCTAAAGCATTGCTCCTGAAATATGAATCTGGTGGTGTGTAAATACTTCCCTAGTCTCACATGTATTCTCTTCATTAGTTCTCTATTACCCCAGCAGAGATCTCCAGACTGGTATGTGTAGATTCTACCAAGTGCTCAGCATAATCTCTTGGTGTATGGAAAATGCAGACAGGAATCCTATTTATAATAATTTTACCTTAAAAAATAAGGCACTAGTTTTCTCATTATATTAAGTGGCAATATATGTATATAAATTAAAAATAAATATAAATAAATCAGAGCATGAGAATTTTTTTTAACTAATCATGAGTATATCCCTGAAATATAAGACAGAGTTGAGCCATGATAGTCATCCTTTATAGCATTTTGTTTTAAACTCTAAACAGTAAACTCAGTAAGACTTGTTTCCAAAAATTTTTTTCCATGTGCCTGATTCTGGCCCTCAGATTGATCAGAAATGTGCTGTTGCAGGCAACAGTGTCATTCAAGGACGTGACTGTGGAGTTTACCCAGGAGGAGTGGCGACAGATGGACTCTGCTCAGAGGACCCTGTACAGAGATGTGATGCTGGAGAACTATAGCCACCTCGTCTCAGTGGGTGAGCAGATCTTACCACCCTTTTGACTGCATGTTCTAGTTTTCTTTTTTCTTTTTAAAATGTTAATCACTCTTGTTGAGGTGTGTTTAACAGAAAATAAAACTCGGAACTTTTCAGTGTTTAAGTCAATGAGTTTTGAAAAATTGTATAGTAGATTTTTATCATCAAACTCATAATTTGGAATGTTTCCATCACCCCTAAAAGATTCTTGTACCCCTTTGCAGTGAGTCCCCTGTGCCCATCCCTCTTATCTCACTTAACACACTTTCTAATGCAAGCACTTTGCCTCTTCTCAGATTTTGTATAAATAGAATCATAAAGTATATACTCTCTATTGTCTGGCTTCTTTCACTTAGCATAAATGCTTTTGAGCCTCATGGATGTGTGTGTCTTCCTTTCAGTTGATAGATCCAGGGTCTTTCTTCCAGTCTGGGGCTATTATGAATAAAGCTGCTGTGAACATTTATACAAGTCTTTGTATCAACATGTTTTAATTTCCCTTGTGTAAATACCTAGGAGTGAGTTTGCTGGGTCTTCTACTAAGTTTATATGTAACTTCGTAAGAAACTGCCAAATGTTTCCAAGTTGGCTCTACTGTTTTTCATGCCCATGAGCAATGTCTGTGGGTTCTCATTGCTCTTTGGTTACCAACATTTGGTTTGGTAAGTCTTACTATTTTTAACCATTCTACTTAGGATCTAGTTATACCTTACAGTGTTTTAATTTGTATTTCCCTGATGATTAACTATATGGAACCTCTTTTCATGTACTTTTTTTTTTTAACCAATAATAATCCCCTTTATTGGAGGGATCACATTTTCAGCTCCATTTTTTTAGTTTAGTTTTTTGGGCTTTTTCATCTCAGAAGTTCAGACCTCTGTCTAATACATGTTTTTACAAACTTTTTTCCTCTATCTTTGTCTTGCCTTTTTAAGAAGAAAATGTTTTCCAGTTATTACTATTTTATACAAACTTTTGAGGAAACCTTTTAATGATGATAATTGGCACAATTTTATTCTTCAAAAGTTTCCCCTAGTGCTTATATCTTACATAACTATAATATAGCAATGCTAGTAAATAGGCATTGGTACAGTGTGTATGAATAGCTCTATGCCATTTTATCTCGTGTGGAGATTTGTGTAAACACCACAACAATCAAGATATAGAACTGTCTTATTGCCCCAAAGAATTCTTTCATGCTACCTCTTTATAATCATACCCATCCCCTCTCCCACACTATCCCTAATCTCTACCAACTACTAATCCACTCTTCATCTACCTAGTATTCCACTATATGAATATAACATTTATTTAGCCATTCATCTGTTGGAAGACATTTTATTATAAATAAAGCTGCTGTGAACATTCATGTTCAAGTTTTTGTGTGAACATAAATTATTATTCTCTGGAATAAATGCCTAGGAGTATGATTGGGGTTATATGGTAAGTATGTTTCACTCTTTAAGAAACTGCCAAACTATTTTTCAGAATGGCTGCACCATTTTGCATTTCTACCAGCAATATATGACAAATCTACTTACTCCCTATTTTTCCTAGTATTTGGTGTGATAACTATTTTTTTAAATAGTGATTGTAATGGGTATATAGTGTAGCTCAACATGGTCTTAATTTGCATCTCATTGATGGCTAAAGATGTTAAATATTTCTAATACTCCTATGCCATCTATGTATCCTTAGGAAAGTGTCTGTTTATGGCTTATATGCATTTTTTCCATCTTTACTGCTATATAAGGACAAAAATTATATATTTTAGCTGTACAACTTGATATTTTGATATATGTACACATTCTGAGTCAATTGCCACAATCAAGCTAAATAACATATCCATGACCTGACCTAGTTACCTTTGTTTTCTTTGTGGTGAGAACACTTAAAATCTGCCATCTTGGCAAATTTCTGGTAAACAATACAGTATTTTTAACTATCCTCAGATTGCTGTATGTATAGATCTTCATAACTTACTCCTCTTGCATAACTGAACTTTGTAACCATTCACCAACATCTCCCCATTCCCCATCTCCCCAGCCCCTGGCAACCACCATTCTACTTTCTTTCTATGAGTTTGACTCTTTTAGATCCACCAACATCCATATTTGTCTTTCTCTGTCTGGTTTATTTCATTTAGCATAATGCCTTCAAGATTCATCCATGTTGGGGCAAATGTCAGGATTTCCTTCCCCTTTTTTGGCTGCATAATCTTCCTCTGTGTGTGTGTGTGTGTGTGTGTGTGTACACATCTTTAATCATTTATCCATCAACAGTTAGATTGTGTCTTGGCTATTGTGAATAGAGGAGGAGAAGGAGGAGGAGGAGGAAAGAAAGAAAGACATCTTAGATTAGTAATTTCTTTCTTCTTTCTATTAGGTGCACTTAATGCTATAAACTCTTCTCTGAGTACTGCTTAACTTCATTATACAAATTTATTTTCATTTAAAGATATTTTCAGAATTTCCATTGTGACTTATTTAGTGCATTATTTAGAAGTATGCTGGTTAATTTCCAAATATTTAGGAATACTCCTGCTGTCTGACTGTACTTGATTTCCTATCTACTTCTAGTGTAATATGAGAACATATTGTTTTAACTTGTACACATTTAAATTTGTTAAAATATGGTATGTGACCTAGAATGTGTTCTCTTTTGGTGAATGTTTCATGTATACTTCAAGCGAATGTGTACTCTTCTGTTGTTGAAATAACCTATGTGGATAGGTCCAAGTTGGTCACTAGTGATGTTCAAGTCATCTATATCCTTAGGAATCTGCCTTCCTAATCTATCAGTGTTGACAGTGTAGAGCTTAATGCTCCAAATCTAACAGTGAGTTTTGTCTATTTCTTTTCTGTTTTATCAGTTTTTGCCCCATATATTTTCAAGCTCTGTTTTTAGGTACATAAATACCTAGAACTGTTAGGTCTTCTTACAGAGTCAACCCCTTATCAACCCCTTATCAGTAGGTAATGCCCTGGTAATATGTGTGATGTTTGGTAATCTTCCATGTTTTGAAGTGTTCTTTCTGTGAGGTTAATACAGTTCAATTTTTTTTTTCTTTGATAAGTGTTAGCATGATATATTTTTCTTTATCTTTTACTTTTTAATCTATCTGAGTCTTTGCATATAAAGTGTGTTTCTTATAGTCAGCATAGAGTTCCCTTCTACCTTTCTTTTTTTTATCCTATCTGACAGCCTCTTTTATTTGGTATTTTTAGACCATTCACATTTGTGGTGACTAATTGATGTAGTTGGATTAAATTTTTTGTAACTTTTCTAGTCATTGAATTTGTTCGTTGGTTTCCCCACCAATTCCTTTTTCCTTTTTGCCTTCTTTGCTTCCAAGAACATTTTATATGAATCCATTTTATTCTTCCTCTTGATGTATCATTTATACTTCTGTTTAAAATCTTTATAGTGGTTGCTTGTTATTGACATTAAATATTTTTAAAAGTAATCTGTGTCCATTCTACAACACCATAACCATACCACTTAACATATAGTGCACATATTTTATACAGAGTTAGGTTCTGAGATCACTAGCCAATCTCTTTCCTTTGTTATACTGTCCAAAGTCTTCATATGTTTGCTTTATATATTATATCTAGGATTTCACATGGATTTAAGGAAAGGTACAGAGTGATGTCTAACTAATTGTATCTGGAACCATCAGCCTCTGAAATTTTCACACTTAAGAATTGCCTTTAAATTTAGTGTGATTTTCTTTTTTAAGATTTTATTTATTTTGACAGACAGAGATCACAAGTAGGCAGAGAGGCAGGCAGAGAGAGAAAGGGAAGCAGGCTCCCTGCTGAGCAGAGAGCCCGATGCGGGGCTCGATCCCAGGACCCTGGGATCATGACCTGAGCAGAAAGGCTGAGGCTTTAACCCACTAGCTACCCAGGTGCCCCAAATTTAGTGTGATTTTTAAGTATGGGAAAAATTTATGTAGTTCAAAAACCCAAACTGTGTTAAAAGGTATATTCAGAGTTTTCTCATTTCCATTCTTTTTTTTTTTTTTTTAAGATTTTATTTATTTATTTGTCAGAGAGAGAGAGGGAGAGAGAGCGAGCACAGGCAGACAGAATGGCAGGCAGAGGCAGAGGGAGAAGCAGGCTCCCTGATGAGCAAGGAGCCCGATGTGGGACTCGATCCCAGGACGCTGGGATCATGACCTGAGCCGAAGGCAGCTGCTTAACCAACTGAGCCACCCAGGCGTCCCTCTCATTTCCATTCTTGTCCCCTCTGTTCATTTCCCTCCTGTCCTACTTTTATTGCTTTCTGATTTTTCTTCCAGTGTTTCCTTTTTGCAAATATAAGTAATTACATAATTCCTGTCTCCCTTTCTTTCTCCCACACACTATTCTGTTTCTCTCTTTTTGACTTTATACTGATTACTCATTATTTGTGTGTAAGCTCTTATCTATATTTTGAATACATGGTCTTCACTTGTGGGTGGATGCAACCCAAGTTTATTAACTAGTCAATGATGAACATTTGGGTTTTTATATTTTACAGTTATTACCAGCAATGCTATAATGAATAACCTTGTGCATACATTATTTTCTAACTGTGCAGGTATAGCTTTAAGATAAATTCCTAGAGATGAAATTGTTGGGGAAAAGCTAATGTATCTGAAATATTTAGAGCCCCAAATTTATATTTCTTAAAAATAAATGTGATTGTATTACTATTTTACTTAGAACACTCACTGGCTTTTGATTGCTTAAAAATTTCAGAATACGGCTCCAAGAAAATATATTCTCTTGATTCTCTTCCACATCTTGTACTATGTGCCCTCTTGTTTTCTTTGTTGCAACCTTACTGATCAGTTTTTAGGACCTGGTGCTCAGTGTCTTCATTTCTTACAAGGATCTTGGTACTTGCTTTTATCTCTGTTTGGAATGCTTATATTTCCTTATTTCAGTTACTCCTACACTTCCCTTAAAGATTTTCTCAAGCCTTGTTTTATCTTAACATTTCTTTTTCTT